AAAATTTAAAAGAAAATTTTTTATGATAAATTATCTCTCTCTTAATAATTTAACAAATGAGGGTATTACAAATTTATATTCATGCAATCAAAAGAATTTATATTAAATGTATCTGTCTTTTATTTAATATAATGGATAGAGGGTACTGTTACATTTAATTAATTTTTTTTTAAATTAAAATAATTTAATAGATGGTGGAATATCACTGATTTTAATTTAACGCGTCTGAGAGAAATATATTAAGTATACCTGTTTTTATTAAAAATTTTAATATATTTTGATATAATTTCATTATTAATTTTTTTTTAATTCCTTAATAATTTAATAGACAGGTCACTAACAATTTTACATTTGATACGTCTGAAGCAGGCTGAAATGCTATAGTAATTTGCTGGCCATTCAAAAAGTTATTTATCTATTAAAATCTAATATGCTAGAACAATAATTACATATTTTAATTAGCAGTAGATCAAGAAAAACACTTTAAACAATAAGCATTGACGCAGTAAATAGCTGCCAAACAGGTCTTAAACGACCATGGTAATTTGCTGGCCATACATAAATTCCGTTCTTGATCTATAATATATTTGGAATTTAATTGGCTAAAATAACAATTCAATGCATGATTAGCGTTATGAATAACAAAAGTTAGTTTATATACGTACGTACTAATTTTGATGAATCAAAAAAGACACTTTAAACAATAACTGTGGCGCAGTAAATAGCAGAAAATTAATACGTACTGTACATATAGTTGTTTAAGCCCTGCTGAAGAAATTTTAAGTGTCACACAGTTTAACTCTTAAGTTCTTAAAACTATTTAATAGACTGCTAATTTCTTAAAACAGTTAAACAGCAGAAGACACTGCATATTTTATATTCGATGCATCGGTAATATGACCAGAGCGGCTATTGAAATTGTGGGTCATATGATAGGTGCCACCACTGCCAACCAATAATGGATTTCATGAAACTCTTGCATTGTTACATGATCAGAAAAATTCGAAACAAACATCATTTTGTTAACAACTCTGTTGACAAAACGACATTTGTTTCGAATTTTCCTGATCATGTAATGATACAAGAGTTTCATGAAACCTATTATTAGTTGGCAGTGGTGGCACCTATCATGCAACCCGCAATTTCCTGGTCATGTCCTGATGCATTTAAGGAAACAATAGAGAACTGCTAGTCTTAAACCAAAAAGTAAGCAACCGATAAGCTGCACAAGTATATTGTCTTAAAATTCTCAAAATAGTTAAACGGATAGGAGGCATCATATATTTATATTCGATGCACTGAAGAACAATATAATACTGTTGGGCTTTCACCTAGTGATGTGCTGTATACAGTACTATACGTACTGTACGCGAAAATTCTTGCCGATCACTTCAGGTGAATTCTCTCAACCAATCAGATTATTAGAAACAACTATATGCACTATACATACTGTACGTACTGTACGTAAAAAAAATTTGGATATCATATAAATAGCACATCACTACTTTCACCCTAAAAAGAAATAACAAATTATAGTTATTCACTACATACTCATGCAATAATTATAATTTACATCATACCTCATTTTGATTCATTTGATTCGTATTATCTGGTCGGTAAGTATAGAGCTCCTATTAATAGATATACATTGATTAAAATTAAAAGTTTAACATGTTGAATGTCATAATTAGAATGTGCCATTCAGCATTATTACATATGCACTAATTTGATTTGACCCTAAAATCAGCCAATCATAACAAGAATAACATTGTTTAAATTTTTGTATACAAAGTGAGTTGTCATAAAAACGATCTTTTAAACTTTGAATCTAGACACGACCAGAGCAGCCATTGAAATTGTGGGTCACGTGATAGGTGCTACCACAACTAACCAATAATGGGTTTCATGAAACTCTTGCATCGTTACATGATCAGAAAAATTTGAAACAAACATCGTTTTGTTAACAACTCTGTTGATAAAATGACGTTTGTTTCAAATTTTCCTGATCGTGTAATAATGCAAGAGTTTCATGAAACCCATTATTAGTTGGCAGTAGTGGCACCTATCATGCGACCTGCAATTTTGAATTTGCTACGTATACAACCGATTGTTCAACGACAAACTGATTACGAACTGATCATTCACTACCTGAAAATACCCGAACGTTTCAAAAAATAGTGACAGTACTTTCTTTTACAGCTTAGTATAACAGTTTTACTAGTATTTATTTCTTATTTATCTCATATGTGGATGAAAGAAGCTCTTTTAATAACTTATTGACAATAGTTCGTGTAACCATTTATCGAAAAAAAGACCCCTAAAAATCAAATTGGTGGATTGATATGATTTCACGGACATGCATGTTCATGAAGTCTATCATAATGTTGAACGCAGGTTGAATGACACATTGGATGACATTCAAATTTTAATTTTGATTCTGACCAGTGATGTTCGATGTAATATTTACGCTATTCTTCTTATTAATCTTAAATTTACAAGATATAAAGATTTTTAATTGGTAAGTCAGTCAAGCTTGAAGTTGCAACATTAGGCGCTTCAAGTTGTACTAACTGAAGCTAGCACCTGAAATTAGATGTCCTGGTTAGTAATTTCAGGAAGGTGCGATTTCAGGTGCTTGAAGTTGCAATTTCAATATTTATTATTATGCTATATTTCTAGGTTGGTGCTGGCAAATATTTATTAATTGGCATACTTACCATTACAGAAAATTAAAGTAAAAATTGAAAAAAATTAAATTAAAACAATGAAAAAATTAAAAAGAAAATTAAATTAAATTAAAAAATAAAATGAAACCAAATGAAATTAAAAAAAGGTTTTGTAAGAAGTGTTTTAGCTTGAATGTCATTAGTTTATTAGTCTACAGTCTTGATAATCATCAATATGACTATTTACGGAGATTGTGCAAACCACGTGCAAAATTAAGAACTTGCTAACGTATATCACTTTTCCCAACTGTGACCAGACAAAGTAGGCTACTAATCTTAACATTTTTAGTATGAGACAAAGATGGGCGGTATTAAATATATTAGGCATACGATCGGTTTCATATCAAGACCTGATATACGTTATGTTGGCATACTTTGCAGTATCAATTTTGCAGGCTTTACTGTAAATCTTGTGCAGAGTTGGTTTTTTAAATTAGCTTTTCTTTTTTTAGAATTTTAATAAAATATGACATTTTAATACTAATTTAATTTAACAATTGTCGACTTCCTGGAAGGTGTGGTCATCTTGTACAACAAAATAGTAGAGGTCGTGATAGAAGAAACTATGACCGAAGTTATGATCGCAGTAGAATTTTTGTTTCACAATCAGATTCTAATTTTGAAACCAAGTACAACAAAAGGACCTTGTCGAAGAGGTTAAGATTACTCCTAACCATGATTTTAAAGATGAAAATTGCGTAGATGGTATTGAATTTGATCCAGAAGAGGAGGATTTGGTACCACTTGCTAAGACCTACTATGATAAGGTCAAATCCTCTTTCGACAACATTTCTTGTGAAATAAAAGAGCGATTGGAACAACAAGGACCCAGTGGCCCGTTAGCATTTTTTTTATTTTAAAAAATTGTTAAACACGTATTATATTTTGACAATTATTAATTATTAATAGGGAATTGTCTATTGCTGAACAAAGGCAGAAACAATCTGAAAAAAGATGGTTGTGTCTTGAAACTTTTGAACAATTTTTGATTGATGGTGGAAGATATTGTGGTAGTTATCGCAGTTGTAAAAGTTGAAGCAAATATTGTGGTAGTTGTAGAATCCATGAATAATACCCTAACTGCTATATAGGAAATAATTTTAGGTATACAATTGTTTCAATGAAGGGTTTTATTACTACCATCATTTTTAACTCTACATTCAAATGTTTTTTAGCAACAGATTCAGCAACAATACGAAAGCGTATATTAATAATGATTTGATATTTTATTCATGATCACAAATTTCTTGTTACCTATTAGTAATAAAATGACGATATTTTATAGGGTTAGAGATTTACTCCTTAGATTCTTAAATTTGAAAATAAAAATTTTACCATTGAGTATTATAATACACGTCAGCATATTTTTATAAATTATATTAATTCATGTGTAAAAAAACATGAATGTGAGCCCCAACTGATAAAAATTAAATATATAATTTAATATTATGTTTGTTACTTGGGTTCATATGTTCTTTTTCAATAATATTATTTCTACGTTTGCACTGATCTTGTTTTTTTGTTGATTCGCTATTTCAATAATTTAATTAGTCATAGAAACCAATCTTTTTTTTTTTGAGCATTACTTCTTTATGCTTTTGTATTTTAGAAAACTTTAATAAATTATTAATAATCATATAAATTTACTTTAACCGTTAGTTACTACACCACATGAGACCGTTATGTCATAATATTGTGAGGAAAATAACTGTTAACTGGTTAGTTACTGCACCATACGGGGCCATTATGTCATAATCTTGTGAGAAAAACAGTTAACCGTTAGCTACTATGCCACATAAGGCGGTTAAACCAATTATTTGGTAATTAAGTAAGGGGTTTCTAGAAGTTTCCAAATACCTGGATCTGAAGAGGGGGACTATATTTACATAATAAGTGTTAGTTCCCTTACTATTTATAATACCAATTAAAGATCGTTAAAATATTAGAGCAGTAGCAGTATCTTTTCATATATTATACACCTTTAACTGCCTACTTGAAGAATATATATCAGATAAAAGAATTTCATTACCAGCTTCTCCCAATCTTCTAAATAAAGAAACTCGTGATTTTTTCTCAATCACATCATGTTCAGAACTTAGAAATCTAAAAAAACTCAAACAACTTCTACATACTCATTACTTGTTTAGCAATATTTCTTCTTCATTTTTTGACTTACCTCTACCTAAGTCACCATTACCTTCATCTCCACAAGGACTTACACTATGACTTAGACTAATCTTTTCTTTTTACCCTAGAAATTCTGAAGATTTTAAAGAATATGTTAAAATGCTAAGAGAAGAATATGCTTTTATAACCTTACCTAATGACTACTTAATTAACAAAAGAAGACTTTCAGCAGACCCTAATTAGCTCAAACTAAAAGAACAGTTCATTTTCCTTATAGGTAATACTAAAGATATCCAATATTTTCTTGAAATAATTCCAGATTATTACCAAATACCAGATCTACTCCCTGTAGCTTATGCTAATGTAAACTATACTGACAAACCAGACCTCCCTAATGATTACAACTTAGTCACCAAAGTCAATCTTATAGTCCTAATTATAACTCCAAAAGAGTTAACGATTGCTGCCAAAGCCCTAAGAAAATACTATAACTTCCACTTGATCCCAGAAGATTAGATACAAATTCCTAAGAATACTAATACAAATAGACAGATACCTAACACTAATGAAGAACTGAATAAGGTTCTTCAACTAAAAGATTCTAATATTATTACATACTTTCTAATTACTGACCAAACAAACATTGCAAATGCTATCGAATTACTAAAACAATACTTTGATTTTGATAATGTTTCTAACTTCATCTTCGCAATAAATGACTTACCTCTATCACAATAATACATTTTTGACAACTACACAATGAACTCTGATAATACAAATCATGACACTATAATACTACCTTCTAAAAATACTGATTCAAATGAATAACTCACAAAATAGAATATAAATAACTAGTACGCATAGCTATAATATCTCATTATACAACTTACCAAACCTTAAAGAAAAAATTAATATTGCTTCTCATAACATCAGAGGACTCAATAATAGTATTAAATTACAACAATAGATCATATATTGCAACTAACAAAATCTTCATATAATCATAATCTCTGAAACAAAACTAAAAGACTCTTCTCAAACTTCACTCACAAATCCAATATATAAATTTTTTATATCAAATTACAATCCTATATCTCAACAACAAAGAGAAGCAAGTATAGGAACTGCACTTATAATATATAATACTGTACAACTTTAAATTTATAATATAATAGCTTTCCAAGGAACAATCCTTGCTATAGACTTTTACTTTCCTAACAATAAAACACGTATAATCTCAGTTTACCTCCCTATTAACAATTCTGATCTTTTAGTTCGAACTCAGAACCAAATTACTCTATAGACCACAGAAGGGAAAATTAGAAATTGGCATACTATAATACTTGAAGATTTTAATTCTAACAACACCTCTGCTAAAAAGAAAAATATTATCTTTTCAGAATTTACTTCCAACAACTATATTAGCCTTCTCAACTTCCATAATATCTTAACATCTACATGGCATCGAAATAACTCATATTCTCAAATAGATGATATATAGGTATCCTTTAATATACTTCTAAACATAGACCCTCTAGATTTAATTAATACAATAGGAATTACAGATAGTAATCATACTATCTTACGTACAATATGGCATACAAACTTCTCTCCTTCAGTTCCAAAAAATAAAAAGAAAAAAAGAAAAATTTATCTATACAACAGAATGACTGAAGAGAACTAGGATAACTTTGCAAATGACATCAATAAATCTCTAACAAACAGCATATCAAGTAGACAAATTATGAACTCAACTTCTCTAAACAAAAGTTGGTATTATTGGTTTTCAAAGGTTAAACACTTTGCCAACAAAAATATTCCTATAACCTATACGGCTTTTAAACCCTTTCATGCACTTTCTCTAAAAGTCTCTAAACTCCATCAAGCATTAAACTACATCAACAAATACATCTATATTTTAGTTTCTACTTATCCTCCATTTTCTATTGAACATATTACCATACTAGCAAACAAATATCTTGCTAAAACAAACTGACTAACTGAATCTTCACAAACTCTCTTACTCTCTTTAAACCTGAGTATTGCAATAGTAGAGAATAGTCAAACTTCATACTATACCAATACTATTAAGAAGATCAAGGAACTAAAGTTTACAATTTGAAAAAGTAGAAATACAGAAAGAAACTTAGAACAGACAGAACGAATCAAATATTATGTAAATCATAGATACACTGACTTTAAAGATAATACCAGTCAAATGATTAATAGTATCTTAAAGAAACAGCAAGATCGAATAAGCTTTGAAAAAATAATCTGTTCTAACAAAATCATTACTAAACCCTAACAAATCAAAGAAGCAGTCTCAACTCACTTTCAGAATTAAACTAAATGGAATCCTGTTAATAACTTCTTATAGCCAGAATAGAAAAAATACTATACTCCACTCAAAAATACTAGACCTAATATCTACCAACCTCTGACTAAACCTATTACTCTAGAAGAAATCACAAATACAATAAATGAAGCACCAAAATATAAGGCCACTGGTCCTCTAGGAGTTTCAAATGAAATGCTACAATATTTATCTCCATCAGGTATTTTACATCTCTTACAAATATTCAATGCTTGCTTACAATTAGAATAGTTTCTAAAATAATAGTTAAACTCTAATATTTGGCTAATCTCAAAAAGGGTCTAATATACATATAAGCTTAATACTACTCGTCCAATTACTTTAATAGACCATATTAGAAAAATATTTACTAAAATAATTACTAATAGACTATCAAATATCTTAGATAGACACAATGTTCTCTCTTCTCACAACTTCACAGCATTCCCTTAACAATCAACTCTTTAATCTATATTACAACTCACTTCTATAATTAAACATACTTCTAATTCTAAACAAGAAGTTTGGCTATTACTTCAAGACATGTCAAAGGCCTTTGATTCTGTTCATATACCCACATTAATTAAAGTATTACAAAGAATTCAGATCTCTAATTCGATAGTTAATCTATTAACTTTTTACTTTTCAATCGTACAAATCAAGTTATTACAGATTATAGCCTCTCTAAACCTTATCCAGTAGAAGATAGTATAGATCAAGACGAAACTTTTTCTCCAATATTATGGAAAATATACTATGATTCTTTAATTTCACAAATATATAAAGAACACATTGGATATCAAAGAATCTCCCAAATATAACCTATACCTAAATATATACAAACCTCAGTAATAGCTTATATAGATAACTCTTTATAGATCGTATCTAATAAGCCTGCTCTTACACAAATCCTCGCAACTGCAAATACCTTCTACAACTTTGCAATGATTAAAGTTAATCCAACTAAATCTATCTTGGTCACTAATACTAACTCTGAAGATAATACAATTACCTTCAATAGAGAACTATTAAAAGCATTTGATAAAACCCAACCATTTAAATATCTAGGAGCCTGGTTTTCAATCAATAGAAAACCTATAACTACACAAAAAACTATTTTAACAGAAGCATTCTCAGTTGCTACAAAACTTCAAAAATCCTTTATAACTGAGAAACAAGCAATTTATATCATCAATAATATTATAATATCTCAAATTTCTTATCACTTAAATAGTTTCTTTCTTTCAAATACTCAACTTTCTTTACTTAACTATTGTTATACTAATATTATAAAACAGAAAGCCAAACTTTCTCATTCTCTCCCTAACTCCTTTCTTTATCATCCTGATATCTATAGTTTAAAAAACTTTACGCAAAATCAAAACTCACATTTAATTTTAACACTCTTACGCAATCTAAATCAATCCTACTTTGAAACTTCTTTTCTAAAAATTCATCTACAACAATTACAAGATTCAACTACATCTAATCTTTCTATACTTACACATCTCCTACTTCTTCCAAAAAATAAAGTTTACATTCATACAGGTCAATCA